CACTAAGCAGTGAAGGGCATGATGACTGCAACTTATTTTTCAATGACTCAGGAGGAAAAATAGAAAGATGAAATACAGCAAAACATTAACCATTCTCGAATCCAGATGATGAGTGAATGGAGTTTGTTGCTGTCTACTTTTCAGTATCACTGAAAAATTTCAGAGTAAAATACTGGAATAAATGATGGTCACAATGTCATTTGCTTTGTGTGGGTGGCTCTCGAGGTCACTGAGCTCCCCCATCTTGCAGAATCACTATTTACCTATTGTGAGAAAGAAAAGGTGTTTTGCCTGGAATAGTATCCTTCCCTCTATGAGCACCATTTTCTATCTTTGCTTTTGTGAATGTGCCACTCTAGACAGAACTAACTCAAGCCTTTGTCATCATTCCAAATGCTTTGAAACCCCAGAGGTGGTTTTCCAAAGATAACATCAGTCAAGGAGAACATTGCTCTTAAGGCTGTGGGTACAGTCATCGGTGTGCTGAGGAAGTGAGGGTTATTTGTGATGCCAGGCTCTGTTCAAAATGCTGTTTGATTATAAAAGGAAATTAGTTCTGTTCAGCCCTGTATGAGCAGCAGTATCATATACTGGTTGCTTTTCCTTAAGACTTAAATATTCACAGTGGTCCGTTAGCTACCCTGATTTCATTTTGAAATGTTGCAGTCGGTCTGTAAAATTCATTCCTCCACCTACCCACTCAGGGATGGGGGTTATGGGTAACGGGGCAGGGAAGAAAACATGAGGCAACCCCAAACCAGAAGCACAGCTGTGATGTTATAAGCAAGAACTGTACCGATCAATGAAGATATGGAAAGGGAAAAGGCCACATCACCCGTCCGTCTATAGCAGTATTTAAAAATCTTCAATAATTCTCAAAACTCTGTGATTTCTGTCATGTCTGAGGACCATTATTAACTACGGGACATTTATTGGATGTGCTCCCTTAAATCCATTTCCTAAAAAAAAAAAAAAAAAAAAAATTAAATGCCTACTTTGGTCTCATCCTAAACATTACCCATAAAGTCATGGCTTTAATGTGCTAATTATATTTTTTCTAAGACAATATGCATAGCTAGACCATCCTCTCCTATTTTGGATAGTATACAGGAATCTACCTTTCAGAAAAGGACTTGAGGGCAGATGCATCGAGCTAAAAACACTGGCTTATGTGTGTACCTGTGTGTAAAACATGCGTTTTAACTAACCTTCGTCATGTTATCCTTTCCTTCCTTCTGTTAAGGCTTTTAATAGTAAGTCAGTGGCCTAAACTGCTTTGTACAATTACTTTTCCAGAGACCAAAAGAAGCATGATTCACTGAATATTTTGCTCATTAGAACATGAGCAGAAGTCCTGAATACTCGGAGATCCCATATCTTTTAAGTCCTGGTGCAAAAAGAACCTTTTGATGCAAAGATATCAAACAGGCTTCAAAAATTTCGAATAGCAAATGTAATATGAAGCGACTGAAAACGTTTTATATAGGTAAGGTTTTGGGTCCACTGAGATTTTTCTCAGTACTTTGCTTTAGTCTTAAAGAAACGGTACCTTGAGGCCACCTCCTCCTTTCCCTTTGAATAAATCATCCTGATTTTCATAATGAGTTGCTTTTTTGGTGCAGAGCTGTGGGCGTGCAGGTTGGTGTTTCAAATGTACTTTAGTAGCTCCTGTCCTTCATTTGGGAAATATTTACTGCATGCCTACAACAGCTAGCTTTTGAGTGCTAGGGAGACAATAGAAACCCAAAACAATGGCTCCTCCTGAGGAGCTTACAGTGTGGGAGACAGACACCTATTATCTCCCAAACCGACAGCAGGTTGCCCCCAAGGAAGCGGTGTTAGAGCTGGGATCTGTGTAGGGCAGAGGAGAATGAACCAGGCAAAGGGGACGTCACCGTAAAGGCCCCTTCTGTGACAGGGCAGGTTGGGGAGCATCTCCTTTCAAGGAACTGGAAGAATGCCAGAGCGGCTGGAGTCTGTGGCCTCCTGGGGCTGGACCACAGCCACTGTGAGGAGTTTGGTCTTTGCCCAATGGGGAACCACTGAAGGGCTTGAACTCCTCAAAAAAATGGAGGTTCTGTCAGCAATGAAAAAGGCAGAAGTGGGTATCAGGTAGCCACGTACCACCCCAAACATCCCTACCCAAAACAGAACCCAGATTTTTCCCATTTCCCACGCTCCTAAACCTGCCTGTGGTTCACTGTTTCTCACCTCAGTGAATGGCCTCACCGTCCATCTTGTAGTTCATGCTAAAAATCTGGGTGTCAGCCATATCTCCCTCTTCATCCCTCATACCTAGTCCAAGCTCTGTCCATCTCGCCTGTATGAGTCCATCAGTGTTGCTATAACGGAATACCTGAGGCTGGGTAATTCATATTTAAAAAGAGGTTTATTTGGCTCATTGCCCACTTCCTTGGGCCAATTAGCCGTTGATTTGGGAGATGACTTGATTGGCATCCGTTTCCCACACTGTGGGCTCTACAAGGAGGAACCATGTCTGCTATGTTCTCCATTGCCTCCCCACCATCCAAAGCCTAGATGTCATAGGTGTGCAATAATACATGTCAAATGAAAGACAGAAGCAACTAAAGTATGTTAGTATAAGAAGCATGGCACCGGCATCTTCTCGTGAGGACCTGAGGAAGCTTCCACTCACAGCGGAGGCAGAGGCCAGGAGGAATCATCCTGAAGGAAAGAAAGCAGGGGTCGGGGGAGAAGTTGACAGTTCTCTCCGGAACTAACAGAAATTACTGCCAGGACAGCACCCAGCCTTTCATGAGGATCAGCCCTCATGACCCAAACACCTCCCACAGGCCCCACTTTCAACATTGGGGTGTCACATTTCGACGCGAGGTTTGGAAAGGGTCAAATAAACCATATCCAGAGTATATCATCCCGTCTTAAACATCTCTGGGATTCATTCGATTCTCCATCTCTACCATCAAATTCATGCGATTGTCTGTTGCCTGAACTACTGCCATGGTTTCTGGACTGTCCCGTGACCCTTGTTGCCCCTACAATCTGTTTTCTGCACAAGGTGATGTTTTCAAAATACAAGTCTGATCATGGCTCTCCTCTGCCTAAAGTCCAGGCAGAGATCCAGGGACAATCTCAGCCCAAGCCGATCATGACGGACTCATTCCACTTGCCATTGACTGATTTCATAGCGGCCAGAGACCCAGAGACTTACTTCTGGCCACTGAAACCTGCGGGCATTTCTTCTGCAGAGCTTCTGGGAAAGGTATTCATGTGCCTCGAAAGGGACCAGGGGCAGAAAGGGATACTTTTAATTTTGTGAAATCCTGGGTATGCTTGGAGTGCGGCACCCATCTTGCTACCAGCCTGAAGGTGCAATTCCAGGGGCTGCAAGGAAAGTAGAGCCTGAGACCAGGGCACCACCTCTGGAGCCCACCCTGCCATGGAGAGAAATCCCCTTGCTAAGCGAGCCGTTTTGAGATGGCTTTTCTGCCATGTGTAGTCTGATGCTGGTGTGTGTTTAAGGCACCTGGTGCCACGTGGGCAGTTGCTGACATGCACTGGACGCTCAGTGGAGAGATGTGAACTGGAGAAATACCTATGTGAGTTGTTGGTGAAAACTGAAGGTTGAGGAAAGGATGAAAGCAGAAGAAAAGCTTGGAAGAGAAGAATAAGCTGCAAAGAAGATTGAGAGGAATTGGGCCACAGAGGTACCACAGGAGACCACCTGTGGCCTGAAGAAAGGATTTCTTCCTTGCCTGCCTTTCTGTATTAAGACTCATATTAAAAAGGCATTATAACATTCCTAAACGTGCCCTAAGTGGACAAAAGGAAGTGGCTCAGAAGTGTTTTCAGCTGGGGGAGGAAGCTGGGTTTCTGAACCAACCCTTGGGATTCACATCAGGAGTATTTGGCTTCCTGCCCTTTAATAAGTCACTTGCTAGAATCTCAGAGGCAACCAAAAATGGACCCAACAGTCTGGCCAGAGAATGCATCTTCTTTTCTGAGTTTAACACACTGAGGTAGTGTCAGACAGGTCAGTGCCTCTGGTTTCTACAGAAGGGGCAGCGGCTTGCGGGGAGAGGGCTGTCGCGGAGTGTGGAAGTGGAGGGCCGAGACTGGAGGGAGTAGCCACGGAGAGGCACCATTGGTAAAAACAGGCCCAGAAAGCCGCTGGTGGTCACAGAATTCGGCCGGAGAGACCTCCATGGGAGAGGAGACAGGAAGTCCACTGAGAGCATGTGAGTTAAAAAAATAATAAAATTAGAACAGAAAAATGACCAGGAACTACGTTGCCATGGGAGAGGTTCTACAACTTCAGTGTGTGCCAGAATCAAATGTGGATTCCTGGTCCCCAGCCCCCAGTCTCCACTCGGATCCGGGCCGGCACGCACAGGTTCACAAAGCTCCTCTGGCTGCGCTAGTGCCTGGGGCCGACTTCGAGCTGAACTCCCTTCAGCTCCAGCCTTCAGCTCCTGCACCGACGGAGAGAACGGGCGTTTCCTGACGCCACGCCAAGCGTCCTTCTGACCCTTTGGACCCCGTGGGCCCGACGTGGCGGCCTCGGGCCCTGCAGCACGGCCCGAAGCAGTAGGACCCTGCGCCGGGAGCCAAGGAGCGGTTGCGCGGCCGGGCACGCCCCCACTGCGCCCCAGCCCCGGCACCAGGCGGTTGCGCTGCGACCTGAGCGCATAAACCTCTGGGCGGGTCTCCATGGTGACTGGCGGACGCCCTGGCCAATTGTGTCCCGGCGCTTGTTTATCTCCGCCCCATCCCTCCTCGGGGGACCGATATTTCCGAGACTGACAGGCCGTTCCGGGCGCTGTTACGTAAGGGGAGGATCAATTGCAGCCCCACCCAAACCAGAGTGATTTGATTGGCAGGACGGAGTGCTAGCTCCCCAGCGACCCCCGGAAAAACGTCCTTGACGGGCAGGTGTGAGAGCCAGTTGGCGTCAGGAGGCAAGGCGGAAGCCTTGGGCCCAGGGGCGTGCGGCAGGGGGCGGAGCCCGGCGCCGAGGGCAGGGCAGGGTGGGGCGGGGCGGGGTTCAAGCTGGGGCTGGGCTGGCGCTACGGCCGGAGATGCTGTCGGGCCGCGACTGCGCTCGGCAGCCAAGAACTCTGCATTGAAGGCACCGGGGTGAGACGCACTGCCCGGTACGGTGGTAGGTACGCGAGGGCTGAGGCATCCGTAAATCTGGCCGCCAGCCTCCGCGGGCCTGGCATTTGTCCGTCCTACTGGGCGCTTGCGGCTCGGCAGCGACGGCGGCCGCGCTGGGACATGGGGGCGGGGCCGGGCACCTGTGCCCGTTTGCAGGCACCTGCTGCGCTGGCCGCTCACTGCCCGGCACTGCTGCTGGGGGCTGCGGCTCCAGCTGGGCCGGGCCGGCTGAGGGAGAGAGGCGGGCCCTGCTGGCTCGCCCCGGCCAGTGCCCACCGTCCCCGGCTGGGTCCCGAACCGAGCCTTGGCTAAGGGGGTGTCGCCGAGTCCCAGAGCCCCTCACTAGAGGGGCCTGGGATTCCCGGGCCAGCTTCCAGCTAGCTGCAAGTCCAGGACAGGGCCCCCGCCTTGCATCACCTTGAGACAGGTTTGTCCAGATTCCCTGCGAGCTCAGAGGCTGGTTTCCGCCTGCGGCGAGGGTGCCGGTCCAAGGCCGCCGCGGGTCCCGGCTGTCCCCAGCGAGCCTAGTCCGGGCCATGTTCGTCTTTTTCTGGTCCCTGCTCTGTCGCCTCTTAACGTGGAATTTCAAGTCTGATTCGGGGTGATGTGAGTGCACCGTGGCACACAGAGTAACAGCAGCACTCAGGTTTGAGCTCTGCTGTGCACTATCATTCGCGCAGACTGAAAACCCAGACTTCTCAGCTGGGTGATGTAAAGGAATGTAGCCGTGGCCAAATAAGCAGAAATTCTAAAATTGTTTCCCAGTGGCAAGGATGTAACCTATGTCTTGCTTCCATCTATGTCATTCCTCTCGGAATATGTCATGCTGTGCTTGTTCAAGACTAGACCCTGAAAACTGTGCTACAGTTTCTCGTGATTATCTTGCAGCTGGAAACATTGGATTAAAAGAGCCATCACAAAGTTAGGCAGCAGTAGACAATACCCCCTGCTTAAAGATAGGCAGAACTGGGGACAAATTGTATTGGATTCTTAAAGGCAAAGCCAGAGAATCCTTACGTGTTAGACCTGGGAGAGACTACAGGTTTGCACTAACCCATTAAATATACATGGTGGAGAGCACCACTGTGTCCCAAGGGATGGTGGCCCTGTGTTAAATCAGATGTGTCCTAGAGGACATTGGGGTATTGCACATTACTGCTGAATCTGAAAATCAGTGTCTTCCTTTGAGCCAAACAGGAACATGCCCCCGCACATTTTTGATATCCTAAGTGTATTCAGTGTGTCACCTTTAAAGGCAGATTTGCGGAGAGCTGTTGTTACTTATTGGATGTTTTCCATGTTAGTGGAAGAACCAGGATCTTCATTCCTCTGATTTAATTACTGGGTGGCATTTTCTCATGGAAAACAAAACAGCAGTCACAGGCATTGGCAAGGTTTGGATGACCTGGGTTGGATATGTCCCTGGATGTCACAAGTTCGTCAGAAGGCAAATTATTGCTGATTGGGGACATTTGGTACATGGTTTGCTCATGATCTGCTTTAGAAATTAGGAAAATGTTACTTAGTTTTGACCCTTTTCACCTTCAACCTTTTGATTAGTGCAAGTAGGAAATCAGAGAAGGGGCTCTGCTTTAAAGGTAACAGAGCCTGGGGGGAAATCACCAGGGCAGAGAAGTTGCTGTTCTTACAGCTGGGCTTGGCTGCTTTTCCTTTGCTTCTTTGTATTTTTAGTAAATGACCCACTGACTTTGTGACCTTTGAAGACACCCTTTCTTATTCACGGCTTGAAGCTTCGCCTGGAAGATCTGTACTTGTGAACTGTCTCTTGTGTGCCTCTGTTGCATTTGTCTGGATTGCTAGGCAGTTCCTTAAGTGCATGATCCTGCAGTTTCTATATGTTTCAAAGTCGTAAAAGGCGTTTCTTGGGGGATGGTATGGACAGGACTCAGGTAACCCCTTTATCATCTTAGTGACATACAAGTGCTCTGCCTTCCCTGTTTTCTCATTTCTTTGGCTAACACTTTGCTGGAGGAATCATTTTGTACTCAAGTGAGTTGAGGCAGCTTTTAATTCAGCCTCCTTAGATCTTTATTGCTTGTTCCCATAGCCGTGGGAACAGTGATACAACTTTTGTGTATGTGGGTACAGTGCATTCTGAATCTGGTTTTCCTGTTAAATGCTGAGATGTGCTAGTAGCAGCTGTTGTCTATATCTTCTGAATTTCTGGCACCAAAGCTCATCTGTGTCACTGAGTAATCTGAATCCTGGCCAGGGGACCTGGTGCACAGATTCTTATAAACATCTAAAGGTGCGAAATAAATTAGAGCCAGAAAAGGAAGATGGTATAGAAGGAAACTATTTCTGAAGATGCCTGAAGACTCTCTCCTAGGTTTTTATAACTCTTTGTTATATAACATTATCTTGTATATCTAGGGTATCAGATTTAGTTATTCATCATTTCCAAAGTCTTAATTGTTGGCTGGGCATGGTGGTTCACACCTGTAATCCTAGCATTTTGGGAGGCTGAGGTGGGCGGATCACTTGAGGTCAGGAGTTGGAGACCAGCCTGGTCAACATGGTGAAACCCTGTCTCTACTAAAAATAGAAAAATTAGCCAGGCATGGTGGCAGCCACCTGTAATCCCAGCTACTCAGGAGGGTAAAGCAGGAGAATGGCTTGAATCCAGAAAGCGGAGGTTGCAGTGAGCCACGCAGTCACGCCAGTACACTCCAGCCTGGGTGACAGAGCAAGACTCCATCTTAAAAAAAAAAAAAAAGAAGCCTTAACTGTTGGTATCAGCATGTTTCTAGGTTTTCCCATCTTGTTTTAAGGTAAAGTGAATGCTGAAGACAGAAGATTTTGATGACATACCACTGAATTTCTTTGTTTGGAATACACGTTATGAACCCTTTCTGGAGCATGTCTACAAGCTCCGTACGCAAAGTAAGTACAGTTGATAAATTCAGTAAGGAAACCTATTTGCTTCTGTGTCTGAAAATAGGGTCAGAATGAAGGCTAATCTGTCATGGTTACCTGTAATCTTGATAAAATTACCTGGGTTTTCTAGTTAAGGGTTTACTCTTGAAAAATAATTATTTTATTGGTTAAAGTCTGTTTCTGAGACTGCAATTGCATCTCAAATACAAATCGTTCTGGTCATCACAATTCTAAGATTATTTAGGTTATATTTACACATGATGATATTTGTGACATTGTAGCTTCTGCTAAACTTCAAGGTTCTATGGTTAGAACAGCTCTGGGAAAGGCTAGTCTAATATCATTAAATCAGACTTTAGGGGTTCTAATTTTTCTAAATAAAATGATTTTATAAAAATATATTTTCATTTTAGAAAAGGTTAAAATAGACAGTAAGAAAATTAAAATAACCATAATCTCATCTCTAAGAGAACAAACACCACTATTACTTTCTGTGTATGTATATGATACACGTCTCTTCCTCACTTGTAGATAGATAGTAATGGGGTACAAGTGCGGTTTTGCTCCATTGGCATATTGCACTGTGCTGAAGTCAGGGCCTTTAGGTGCATCCATCACTGGGGCTATGCATATGATACATATTTTTTAATATAGCTAATTAAACAGCCTTTGGTTGTACTTGCGCCAAGGAAGTACCTGTGAGATGGTAGTTTAATCTCTGACTCACGTTGACCTTTGTCTTTGACTAAGGATGACGGTTTATGCTGGTGATATTTGAAATGTCAAAACATACCCAGTAGGGACAAGATCAAAATCAGACCCAAGCAAGTGAGAGAATAGCTTCATTCTTTGTTTCTAAGCCAAGTGCTAACAGGCAGTGACTAATTTCAGTTATCCACACTACTTTGAGCTTCTTAGACCTAACCTTGTATAGCATCTAAGTGCAGGGGGACTTTTCTAGCCTTGTGCAGTTGTCTAATTGCTTAGTAACCCCTTGCCCTCTTTTTGGGGCCACTAGGAGAAACCGCTTCTCTCTGTGTTTCAGTTAATCCTCCTGTACACAGTGACTGTATCATCCTTACAGGATGAGTTTCGCTATACAAAAGAATTTCTATAATGCTTTGGTCTTGCGTCAGCGTTGTCTTTATATGACCTGCCTGCCCAAAGGACTTTCTAGTCATCTTGGCTATGGTGTTAGAATGTCCTTGTAAAGGAGTAATTCCAGCATTTAGGCCATGGAGCTAATAATGTACTCTCGTGATTTAAGAATCATCCTAACAGATACTCTTACAACTTCATCTTGTATAGCGATCTGAAGGTGAAGAGAAGACATTAACAGGGGACGTGAAAACCAGTCCTCCACGAACTGCACCAAAGAAACAGCTGCCTTCTATTCCCAAAAATGCTTTGCCCATAACTAAGCCTACATCTCCTGCCCCAGCAGCACAGTCAACAAATGGCACGCATGCGTCCTATGGACCCTTCTACCTGGAATACTCGCTTCTTGCAGAATTGTAAGTTCTTAACAAAGTATTTGGTTAAATTAGGAGTGATCCTTTAAGGTGAAGAATGAATTTTATTCCGATGGACGCGGTAAAGGGCTGTCACTTAATCTCAAAGCTCAAACCTGTCCCTCTCCAACATCAGCCTTAATAAATATGGAGGCCATTGCTGGTGATAGAATCTTTCTTAACCAAGGCCTAAGTAGAGTTATAAAAATAATCCTTTCCTAAAGATTCTCATTTAGAGCTTGGGTGAGTAAGATTTAAAGGCGGAGGGTACTTTAATTTCCATGTCTGTTTCGAAGAGTAAGAAAAGGAAGAAACTGAGGTTTATTAAGAACCTGCAGTAGACCAGGAACTTAGTAAATTTGGTCTTCATTTATATGAAGTGAGGAATTTGCCTCCTGAAGAGGTTTTTCTAGAGTTGGACAGTGGGAGAGTCGTCGTCCCTGCCTTCTTGAGTCAGACCCATCTGGAGGATGGTTCTCCATTGGTTGTCGCTTTGTAGGTAGCTCCCTGACAGATGAAGAAGGCCTAGCAGGGAGGGACCAGGAAGCCATACCTTAGGGATTAGCAGTTGAAGGAACCGGAGAAGTCTTCTTGGAGAAGAGAAAATTTAAGCACATATTAAAGTTGTCTTCATATATTGGAAGATCTGTCACAAGGAAGGATCTGAATTATTCTGTATGACCCCCAAAGTCAGGACTTAACAATTCTAGGGAAGAGACAAGTGGGCTCCACATAAGGAAGATGCTGACTGGTCACCGAGTTCAGCAGCTGGGCTGCACTTGCACCTGGTTGTGGAGTGCAAGGAGCTGTACAGGGTACAGAGTGCTGGCAGCTCACCCATAGTGCCTGGCACACACTGGGGCTCCAGCACCGCAGATGCAGATGGCATTTCATTTGAGACTTTGTTAAAAGGACAGAAAGTTTGGGGAATTCTTAATTTCCATCATTTAAAAATTCCTGTGTATACAGTTATTTTAAAAGCATCCTTGAGTCAGGCACAGTGACTCAAGCCTATAATCCCAGCTACTTGGGAGACTGAAGCAGGAGGAACACTGGAGCCCAAAAGTTCAAGACCAGGCTGGGCAACAGTGACCCCTGTCTCTAAAAGAGATTAAAAATTTCCCAGCTGTGGGCCTATAGTCCCAGCTACTCAGGAGGCTGAGGTGGGAGGATCACTTGAGCTCCGGAATGTGAGATAAGCCTGGCCATATAGCAAGTACTCATCTTTTTTTTTTTTTTTTTTTTTTTTTTGAGATGGAGTCTCACCATGTTGCCTAGGCTGGGGTGCAGTGGCGCAGTCTCAGCTCACCACAGCCTCCACCTCCTGGGTGCAAGCGTTTCTCCAGCTTCAGCCTCTGGAGTAGCTGGGACTACAGGTGTGCACCACCATGCCCAGCTGATTTTTTTATTTTCAGTAGAGACAGGTTTTTGCCGTTTTGGCGAGGCTGGTCTCAAATTGCTGACCTCAAGTGATCTGCCTGCCTCAGCTTCCCAAAGTGCTGGGATTACAGGCGTGAGCCACGGAGCTCAGCCTACAAGACCTTTTTTTTGTCGTTGCCCCCTCCCCGACCCAAAAAGCATCCTTGACTCCTCCCTCAATGTATTAATGTTGTCATGGTCAGAGGGTGTGAGGCCACAGGATGACTGGCTGGGTGTGATTTGGTAGCAATGGCCCCTTTGGCTCTATAATGAAGGCCTTGTGTTTGAGGCTGGGCAGTGAGCTGAACAGGCCTCTACTGTGGTGATTAAATCTGTATTAGAACACAGAACTGCCTTTTCTGGCAAAGTAGATACATCTGCCAGTCATGTTGCTATTGACATGCTGAATTTTAGCAACTTAAAAATGGACTAGATAATAACTCAAAAATGATTAAAAATAAATGAATGGCAAGTAGGTAATAAAAATGATAAACTTAAGTCCTGATAAAATAGTTCTTGATAAAACCCAGGACTGGCAGGTTAATGTGTTTTAAGACCCTAGGTAAAATTTGTTCTTTTCAAGGTATGGTCTCAGCCTTACCTCTTTAGGCTCATAGTTGCAAGGAACAGACCAGAATGGTTGTGGGTAGTGAACTAGGTCCCAGAAGAACCAGTGTAGCCTTTGTGTCAGTACACCTGTCGTTCCTTGTTTTCAGCACCATTTCCCATGCCCTGGCAAGGCCCCCAGAGTTCAGGTGTCTGCGTTGGGGTCAATTTGAGGGCAGAGCATATGAGAGCGTGGCAAGGATACCTGCCCTCCCCAGGCAGCACTGCAAGCTGAACACTGCCCTCTGCCGTGGGATCTTCTGATTAAAATGTAAAAGGAGAACTTTGTGATCCAATTCCAAGAAATCTTAATTTACCTAAAGTTGTATTTTAAAAGTTTTGAATGATCATCCACAGTCAAAAAGCATCATTTTACAAGTACTCTCATTGACCTCAAATGTACAGAACTTACTTCAGGTTGCATTATTCAGAATTGCCAATAGGCTGGTTTCCAAGATGATATTTTGGAAGAGCAGATGTCTGGGAGGAAAACTTGATTCTTCACTTATCCCTGTTTGGCTTAAGTTCTTACTTACGTGGGACGGCTGCCGGCCCGCTCATTGCTCTGTGAGCAGCTGCTGTGAAGCCTGTGGTGGGCAGCTGTCAGGGCCAGGGCTCCGAGTGTCAGGTGAGAGGTTGTGAGAACTTGGCCTGCAGGGTTTGGGCATCAGCTGCCCCTTGAGGGAACATTCATTGTTGCGAAGTGAATGTGGAGTGGTTTGATCTGCATGTGTCAGTTGTATCCACACCAGTTAATCATTCTGCTTTTGTTGTAGTACCTTGGTTGTGAAGCAGAAGTTACCGGGTGTCTATGTGCAGCCATCTTACCGCTCTGCATTAAGTAAGATGAGGATTCACTCTTAATTTATAGCACATTTAGTTCCTCCCACACAAATTTAGGCCTTAATGGTTTTATTTTTTCCTACAGTGTGGTTTGGAGTAATATTCATACGGCATGGACTTTACCAAGATGGCGTATTTAAGTTCACAGTTTACATCCCTGATAACTATCCAGATGGTGACTGTCCAGTAAGTTGGAGACACAGTCTGGCTTCTTTTGTGGATCAGTGAGGAGGGCGGAAAGGGCTTACAGCTTCCCTGATTATTTTCCTGACCTGGTACCTTTATGATTTAACTACCCAGTAGTCGTTCAGGGGGGCTTGTGTGCTTTGCAGCAGCTTCCGGCATGCCATCCTCTGCTTTGAGCTTTGTTTCTCTGCTCGGAGTCTGCAAGGGAGGTTAGCTGCTATCCTTAGCACTTACCAGGTGAATGGTGATCCTCAGGCTCTAGTAGAGGGAGAGAGAGTTTTCTCCACTTCATTGCAAAATTTAGTTTTTCAGGAACATGGTAAAAGTAGTTAAGTATCCCTTTTGAAGCAGCTCTTTAGCTTTAAATAACGTGACTGTCTTGTCCTGAAGCTCTTTTTATCACGATTTCAGTGGGTCTCATAAGTGCCACTGCTTCCATTAAAGGACATGTCTCTATTTAAATACAGCGCTTGGTGTTTGATATTCCCGTCTTTCACCCGCTAGTTGATCCCACCTCAGGTGAGCTGGATGTGAAGAGAGCATTTGCAAAATGGAGGTAAGTAAATAAAGTGTTTCTTTCAGTGTTTCTTGCTGTAGCAAGAGGAAGCCTCAGTAATCACGCCATGTTTCCCTTTAGGCGGAACCATAATCATATTTGGCAGGTATTAATGTATGCAAGGAGAGTTTTCTACAAGATTGATACAGCAAGCCCCCTGAACCCAGAGGCTGCAGTACTGTATGTAACACTTGCTTTGTTATTTAAAATAAATTTGAAGATGCAGCTAAGTAGAATAAGTTGGTAACTTTTTGATTTAAACTTTTAACACAGGTATGAAAAAGATATTCAGCTTTTTAAAAGTAAAGTTGTTGACAGCGTTAAGGTGTGCACTGCTCGTTTGTTTGACCAGCCTAAAATAGAAGACCCCTATGCAATTAGGTAAGTGGTGCAGCCCCCAAGTAACTGTCCGCTGTCCTTTCCAGCACACTGCTTCCTTTCTTCAGGTGGTCTCGGATGGATATTTAAAAGGCAAATGCATAAGCCGTTAACCTGCAACCTTTATAACTTGGTGCCAACTCAATTTCTGATGCCTCTGAGGCTCTTCCCTTAAACAGAAAGCTTTACAGCTGACAGACTCTGCCGACAGCATGTTCTCTGGTGACTGGTTTCCCAGAGATCCTTGTGATACACATACTCATTCACATGTCAGGACTCTTTTCAGCAGGCAGTTTTAGCTGGAGCCCCTCTTAGACTGCTACACCCTCAGAGACATTCAGATGTGGTAAAAGGAGGAAAACTGAATAGCGTGAGAATGGCACTGTGACATTTGATTTAGGGAACAGCATCTGGAGGAGTATTGGGAATGGATGAATTGGTGATTTTGCTCTTTGACAACATTGGTACTGTTTGGGAAGGCAGTGAAGTATAAGCTGTTAAGAGCTTGGACTCATGGCCAGGCATGCTGGCTTAGGCCTGTGATCCCAGCACTTGGGAAGCTCAGGTGGGCAGATCATGAGGTCAGGAGTTTGAGACCAACCTGACCAACATGGCCAAACCCCATCTCTACTAAAAATACAAAAAAATTAGCTGGGCATGGTGGCTTGTGCCTGTAGTTCCAGTGAGGCTGAAGCAGGGGAATGGCTTGAATCTAGGAGGTGGAGGCCGAGAGTAAACCAAGATCACACTGCTCTACTCCAGCCTGGGTGACAGAACTAGACTCCATGTCAAAAAAAAATAAAAATCAGAGCTTGGAGTCAGCAGATGGACTGTTTGGCTTTTATACTTTTTAGCTCTGGTAACCCAGAGAAATTAATTTTACCCTGCTTTCCTTTCTTAATCTTTCAAATAATAGTACTTTAGGGGTTGGTGTGAGGCTTAAATGAGATCATCCATGCATAAGGGATAGCTATATGAGAAAATTAATTAGATAGTATCTAAAACATACATGTTAACAACACAAAAAGCACTGTTCTTTATTAAGTTGGGGAATTGGCTTAAAGCTTAATTACTGCAAAATGAATGTTTTAAAATTTAGTGACCCAACACATAGTTTTTAAATACTTTTCTCTTCCTTAAGCTTTTCTCCATGGAATCCTTCTGTACATGATGAAGCCAGAGAAAAGATGCTGACTCAGAAAGTAAGTGGATCACCACTCATGATATGGCCAACTCATTGTTTCTTTTCTAACATGTCTTCATTGGACACTGCTTGTTACATACAAGTAACTTTTTTGGGAAACTAGTTTGTACAGTGCTGAAATCTCATCAGTCATTTTTTTAATATCTGTTTTGATTGTGCCTAGAAGAAGCCTGAGGAACAGCACAATAAAAGTGTTCATGTTGCTGGCCTGTCATGGGTAAAGCCTGGCTCAGTACAGCCTTTCAGTAAAGAAGAGAAAACAGTGGCGACTTAAGAGATGGTGAATCTGGTGCACCATGCACTTTCCTGCTGGACTCTGGCCTAGTTCAAGCTGACCAATGGCAGAGGACTGCCTGAAGAGTAAAGCTGTGTGAACAATGACTGACTGCCAGTGTTTTCCATGTATGCATAGGTTCTAACAGCAGGTTTTGGAAACCTCTCTCTAAGTAATGCATTACTTCTGTCAGAAGTGTCTTAGGGTGGTTATCTAGTTCAGTACTCCAAATTATTGGGGACCTTGAGGCTTAAGTATTTTTCTGAATATAATGCTAAAGGTAAGTTGCATTCATTTAAACTAATAGAGCAGACAGAATTCAGCACTACTTAATAGTTTGTAAATCAGTGGTTTCAGTTGTATATATGTTAGGAAACGGAGAGATATAGAGAGAGCAGGTTCCATAGCTCAGCACTTTTAAGTGGAAGATTATTTGAATCTCAAGTCTTCAGCCTGCACTGATTTATAGCCTGCACTGTCTTACGGATTTATAAACTGAAATCACTGAGAAATGTCTTTAGTTGAGTGAGAAGAAACCAGAACACTTGTTCCTAGTGTTGTGTTGTTTTTTAAGCAAATTACTCACTGTATTTTTATGGCAGGAGGGAGAAAAAGTGTTAAAATGGTTTCTAATGAAGTCAGATATTTAAATGATGAATGACTAATGTGTTTAGTAGAGACAAAATAAACCAATAAATGACTGTTCTTTGCCATTTATACAAGAAACTACCCTTTTCTCAATATAACCAAACAAAAGCTAATTTATAAATGCTTTATTGAAAAATACACTTATCTTCATATAAAATTACAGTAGCGGTAAGTATCTTGAGAGGTTTTATAAATATTTTTGCAGAACACTATTCTAATTGAACAGTGTAAGTTCCATTATTTTTCTCAGAGCAATATGAAGTTACCTAGTAACTTTGTTTATACTGATTCAATTTACAATTGAATTTTCTCCCTTATAAGATTATTAATTTGACTTGAAAACTGCTGGAACAATAGTGATTAATAAAGGTATGTATAGATAATTGAACAGCTGTTAAATAACATTTTCTAATTTGTGTAAATGGTACTATGTACTAATCAAAACCTAAATTCTCCAACCAATTTTTTTAAACTGCCAGGAACACCCAAAAATATTTTAAAATATATCACCTTAATAGACATATCTTTTAGATAACTCCCTCCAAAAGGCCGAGGTCATAATTTTTCATATTAATTGCCTCAATTCAACTTGATTTAAAGTCTTTTCTTAGCTGGTTGATTCCTATGTAACAAAAAAACTGGAGAATTTAAAACATATTCCTAAAAAGGTGGCCATAGGGGCTTTAACAGTTTAAAAAAGTACAAAAGCATTAAAGAAAATATTGGATGTTTAGCCTGGAAGTTTTGTACTTAATAAAGTTCACATTGTAGAAAGTGCTATCACAAATATACAGCAAAATCTGGGTTACAAAATCATGCATTTTACAGCCCTAAAGTGCCGCCACTTAGACAGGTTCACTCAGACACTGCACACCCAAACAATCAAGCGCTTTTCACACTGCACCACACCGAATGGGGAGAGGGAAGACGTGCACCAAGGGAAACAACCTGGGTGCGCTCTCCTTTCTTCTATTTCAGGAATGCAAAAATCACACGCTCCTACCAGGTGTTTTAGGACTACCTAATTTTTGTTTTGCTTTTCATGAGGACTACAGCTAACCACAAAACAGGTAGGAGTGAACTTGAAACACAGTTCTTCTGTTGGAGTATGTCAACAGAAGCCTCCTATGCTCACATCTGAGTACTCGTAGTTCTCTTGCAGTACTTTAAAGAGCTTTGTCAGTCAAAAATCCAAGTTTGGATTCTAAGCAGCTTTGACAGTAATCACTGAATGGTAGGGGAAAAAAGGGCGGCTGGGATGAATTAAAATATCCTAAGGATACTGGTGGAAGGAGTTAAGTCCCATTTCTCACCAAAATGTCCCTTCATGTTACTAACAGGCTGTAATTGATCAGCTGGATTAAGAAAAAAAGCTCCATAGTCTAGATGCATTAAAGGTGCTGCTGCTAAACAGATTTTGTGAAGAGTTTCAATACAAGAGACTAACCTCAGTGGGAACCACGGTCATTAGCTACATCTTGGAGACGGCGTAATAAGGCAGAATGATTTTCTGGGCAAATTCTTTTTGCAGGTGATTCACTTCCATCTTCCAAAAGAATTCCTCTCTTTTTAGTTGGCGTTTCTCCTGTGCGTATCATACTATTTATTTCTCTCAGTCTCTATGGTGGAAAAAGACAATAATTTTAAAATGCAAATGCACACAGCTTAGTATTAAGTCGAAGACTCTCAAATGAGTTAAATAGTTTACCTGGAAGAGTTTGAACACATCTACACACAAAAGAAACACACCATTTATAAGTGAGAACACGTATTTGACTTAAAGAAAAAAAATTTTTTTAAAGAGAAAAGAAACTAAGTTACATAACCTGCCAACCTCACTTTTCAGCTGGCAGAGGCTGATGGCTATCTGAGAAGGGGCTGAACAGTTCTATTTTTAACAAACTGCTCCACAGGTGCTTTTGACCTATACATTTCTGTCATTTGTGAGTTCACAAATTTGTGACTTTTTAAATACAATAATTATGTAGCATTACATTGCTATGTGATAGTCACTTAAACACATACCTTTTTCTCTTTTTTTAAAAAGTACAATTTTATACAGTATTCCCTTTTGTCAGTCTAATGTTACTCATTTTTTAGCAGCCATCCTCAACTGGGATTTCACTAGAAAAGTAGACCTTAATTCCCTAAGGTATCCATTGTAGGTAATAAATTAGCAAAATCTAGAATGGTCCTAGTTCGCTATATATCATCTTTGGGAGAGCTGAGGAAAGTTACTCAAATTATTTTCTGGGCAGTGGCTCAGATGAGGAGCTGCAATTGAGAAAGACACTGCCAGAGTGCCAGAAAGACTGGCTGGCTGTACAGTGCCGTTAGCATTCAGTTCCTTCAAAGCCCCTAAAAATCATCTGTCACATTATTTTCTGGTAGTCTGTTGGTTAAAATTATTTTTCATGTACTGCTTCATCCATGTTTCCTTACAGAAAGCATACTAAGCAAAGTCAGACATTTATTATAGGAAATTGCAAACACACAAAAGTAGAGAAGAAAGCATAATGCATCCTCACATGCCTATTCCTCTATTTCAGATGGTTCGCCAGCCTTGATTTATACTGTCATTCTTCCATCCCCCAGACTATTTTAAAGCAAATCCCAGACATATTTTATTCATGACACTTGCTATTTTTATTATTTACTTTAGTAAACATTCTGGAGGTTTTAAAGAAAATCAGTGTTCTTTATTATCAACAGATGTACCTTCACAAGTGTTTCATTAAAAAAAAAAAAAATTAACAATAGAAATGAGGTTGCGCTGTGTTGCCGAAGCTGGTCTTAAACTCTTGGGCTCAAGCAATCCTCCTGCGTTAGCCTCCCAATGTGCTGGGGTAACAGGCATGAGCCACTGCCACAAAATCTTAAGCTTTCCTTCAACCCTTTCTCTTCTAGCCCCCTTTCTGCCTTCCTAGGAGTCTGGCCTGCATTTGCTGTCTCTGCAGTGTCCCATCTGCTTGAATATTTCTTACACTATTTACTGTATACATTGTTAATTGTGTATAATGTATACATTGTATTACTTACAATGTATAATCGTATACCGTAATGTAGCACAATATACATTGGTAATTATGTATATAAAATTTATGTATACATGATGTTTTATATATCATAATATATACACAATAGTTTAAACATGAATAAATTCTTATTCCAAAACAATTTCAAATAGAATACACCTAGACTCCTTATCTTCACCCAATTCCCAGAGACACAGCTACTATCACTGTTAATCCACTGAACAAACCAGTCTGGTATGTATCCTTCTTTCTAGGAATGTAATCATTAGAAATGTAATACAGTATATTAAGTGGGTTTTTTTTTTCTTTTTTGGTAAATAACGGTATACTTTGTGTACCATTTGGAATATTTTTTCAGTCAACATTGTCTTTCACCTTCCTCTGTCAGTATGTATGGATCTGTAACATCTCTTCAACTTCTGTATATTCTCTTGTATGTCTGTGTTATAGGCTAATCCCCTATTATTACTATAAGCAATGCTACCATAATTTATTTTTCAACAAGTTGCACCAATACACTGACATTGCTCTGTCAGGTATCACTAAGGATCAGTCTTCATCTTAACCCATCTTGCATGGTATCTGATGATTCTTTTCTCAGAGTAGTATAAATTTTAGTACATTATAGGTTGGTTCTAGAGATACGCTACTTCTTATTTTGTAACATTCTCCCCTGAGGTCTCAGCTCTCACCTATTAAGATGACAAATCTTTCTCCAACCAACAGTCTAATAATTGCTATCATTTTACCGGACAGACTCCCAATTCCGTGCTAGAAATACCTACAGTCATATAAAACAGTTCCTTTCCTCTGAAAAATTCCCTCACACTCCCTTGTAGTCAGCCTACCCCAAACCACCACTGATGTTCCTGTCCATATAGTTTTGCCTTTTCCAGAATGTCACAGAAATGGAATCCTATAGTAAGTAGCCTACTAAATCCAGTGTCTTTCACTTAGTGTTCATGTATTTGAGACTTATCTACATTGAATGTATCAGTTCCTTTTTATTGCAAAGTAATAGTCCATTGTCTGCATGCACCGCAAGCTTATTTATCCATTCACCAGCCAAAGGACGTCTGAGTTATTTCCCACTTCTTGGCAATTAGGAAGAAAGTCACTATATATAAACAGTCGTGTACATGGTTTTGTCTAAAGGGCTTCCATTTCATTTGGGTACATACCTCAGAATGAGATTGCTGGTTGTATGCTAATGGTATGTTTAAGAAACTGACAGCATTCCACAGTGGTGACGCCATTTTGCATTCACACCAGCAATATAGAAAACTGCTCCACATTGTTGCCAGAACTTTTGATTTGTCATTGTTTAGATTTTAGCCATTCTAAACTAACAGGCATGTAATAGGTGAAGTGTGTTCAAATCTTTTGCCCACTTGTACATGTGGTGGTTTTCCCACTGAATTTTGAGAATTCTTTAGATACTATAGATACACGAATGCTTCATCAGATACGGAACTTATACAGATTTTCTCGTAGTCTATGGATGGTGCACAGAAACTGTTAGTTTTTATAAAATCGAATTGTGCTTTTGATGTTGTAACTTTTCCCCTAAAACATGTTCACTAAGATTTTCTATGTTGTCTTCTAGAAGTTTTATAGTTTGAGATTTTACATTTATGTCTGTGGTTTTTAGTTTTTGTATATGGTGCAAGGTATGGGTGCAAATTTACTATTATTTTGGTAAATGCATATCTAGTCGTTCCAGCACCATCTGTTGAAAAGACTATCCTTTACCAAATTGCCTTTGCCCCTTTGTTGAAAATCAATTTACCATATACATGTGGTCTATTTCTGGACTCTGTTCTATTGATCTGTGTCTATACTTTCACCAACATTACTGTCTTGATACTGTGGTGGTATAATACAGATATTTTGTGTAGCTTTGCAATTAGTGTGAATCCTTCAACTTTGAATTTAGCTATCTGAGTTCCTTTGCCTTGTAAATTATAAATTTTAGAATTAGTTTTTTTATATAAATGTTTGGATTTTGACTGAAATTGGTTTGAAATTATAGATCAATTAGGAGAAAACTACTGTTTTATTTTCCATGAATTGGAAAATAAGATACCATTTTCATTCAGTATCATGAACATGTTTCTCTATTTTCTCAGGCTGTAATTTCTCTCACCATAGTTTTCAGGATAGATGTCTTTTATACAGCTTTTATCATACTTAACCCTAAGTAATTTTTAAGTGTTATTTATTGTTTTCAATTTTTTTTTTTTTTACTTCTGATTGTTCACTGCTAGTATTTAGAAATACATTAGATTTTTTGTATATTAATCACATAACCTCCCTTACTAGTTCCAGTAACTTTCTGTGGATTCTTCATGATTTTTCTGTGTTGACAATCCAGGCTGTATGGCTTCTTTTTCTTGTCCTATTTTACATGCTGGGCTCTCTGGTTACATGGTGAATAGGGGTAGTGAGAGTAGACATCGTTGCTTTGTTACTGATCATAGGGGCAAGGCATTCAGTCTTTCACCATTAAGTATGATATCTGTAGGTGCTTTTGGCAAATGTTTACCAAGCTGAAGAAGTTCCTTGAGAGTTTTTATGTTAATGAATGTTGGATGTTGTCAGATGCTTTCCTTCAAATACTAAGATGATTTATCACCTTCTCTTTCTGAAAGAGTTTCTATAGAATTGGCATTATTTCTTCCTCA